CACTGCAGATTTTTTTTATGGGATTTGTTGACAAAATCAAAAATATAGATTATCACCAACTTTATCCTAAGATTAAAGTGGATGAAGATATAAAATATACCACCACTCCAAAGTTTTCAATCTTTTGTTAAAAATTTGTATTAATAACCTGAACAAACTTCCAATTTTCAAGCTGTGCAGTGCGCGAGTAATCCAGTAACAGCCCTTATGCATTTATAACAACTGCTCAAGTTTAACTTTGTACCGAGCTGTACATAAACACACGTGCACTTTCCTGATTGTTCACCTGCTATGAAGAAGCAGGTCACAAGGAGTCTCTGAACGCCGTCTGACTCAGGATTGTCTACAAGAGGAAGAACTACACTATGCATATTAGAGAACTATAGCAGATGGGCTAGAATTAGACAGGATCACATGCTTACACACGTACACAGTACGTTTGCATCATGATTGCCCTCCCCATTTGGCACTGGAAAACAAACTACAGGGGTAAGGTAGCAGGCGAGTCACAGTCTTCCAGTGACACTGCGACATTTCTTGGAAAGCCTCATCTGTGAAAGATTTTTTTTTTTTTTAATGGGGTGAAGTGGATGTCTCATGAATGGGAAGTCTTAAGGACTCAATGACTCATGTTATTGAGGGAGGTAGATGGACATGGCAGACAGCTTGCCCCGGGGCGCCTTAAAAATCACCTTTGAGATACTCAAAAGCAGTGGGGTGCCAGCCAAGTTATGCTGAAGCAGGAAAAATGCTAAGCACTGAAAACCAGTCAAGTGTTATACCCCAGCATTGTGGTACACATTGTGCACTTAAAACTAAAGTAATAAAGTTAGCCTTGCCTTCTCAATACACCATGTATAATAACTTAAATCGTTGCAAACTGACATGGTAGTTTTTACATGGTTTTAGGACCAAGGTAGAGCTGCAAGGTATACATACTCATGACTGAGTCTCTTTATATCTGGAACATAAGGTTCGCATTTGTTTCTTCAGGGAGACCTGTTGAGTTTGACATCCTCAACAAAGAGGCTCGCTTTCAAAACCTTTGGCAGAATTTCTTGTCTCTTCCTGTGCTTAACATTAGAAGTCTATGATTATCATAGGCTGATTGGATTTCTAGAGAGGCTAGAAACAAGAAAAAAAAAACTATAATGGTGTCAGCAATTTCTGTCTCACATAGCCTGGGTCTCAGGAGTTAAAATATCCTTAGACATGAAAAAGCTCCAACGAAGTCATGCGCAGAATATCTTGGTCAATAATGAGAGTGTTCACTTGAAGAATGTGGGAGAGTAAATCCCATACGGAACCAAACTCTACATAAACAGTCCCTCGGAGCTGAGAGGATCAAGGGGAGGAAAAAAAAAAAGCCCAGTGTCCTGAAACACTTCTGGTTCTGCTGAATATGAAGTGGTGTCAGCCATGGGAGGAAAAGATGGGCCTGCTGATGTTGCTGTTGGTGGTCATGGCTGCCAGTTCCCACCTGAAGTGAACAACAAAACAAATTACCAACATAAATCTCTATCTTCAGGGAGGTAGAAGGCTTCATTGTACTCCAGTAAACTGTTTAATTGCTGTTGAATACAGACCTGTATGTGCCACGTTTGATTTTGTTTGGAACATCCTGCTGGCTTTAGGATTTCAGAAAATGTTGATTCTTTAGCTCAATCTTCACGATACTTTTCCATTTCTCTGACTCAATGCTCAGCTTTCTATGGTTTGAAATATGCAAGAAGCTAAAAATCTACTGCACTGACAATCAATCAAGCATTTGTTTGACATGTGCTCTCACCTTCTGCCCCCCTCCTTGTCCAAGTGAAGGCTATGATGATGAGGCAAAGATGAGGGAAGGCCCCTCGGTAACATGAGAAAAGGGAGCAGGACCTGACAACAGGGTCTAGTGCTGACCTGATGACAGGTCAGAGGTTGAGCTCCAGATTGTTATCACTGGCTCTGGTTTCACACTCACTCCCTCTCAATTGCTTTGTTCGTTTTTTTGTTGTGCACGTGTGTGTTTAAGAGGTGAGAGTGGCGTTGGAGCTGGAGATGCCAGTGACAGCCAAAGGGAGTTACCCAAAGTCTTGTGACCCCACTGAAAACTCTGTAAGGGTGAGAAATCACGCTCGCAAACACCATAGTGGGGAGCCTGCAAGGTGGCAGTGATGGCGCAAGAGAAATGTGAGGCTAAGAGCTGCAATTAGTATCAAGTTCTATGGGGTGCGTGTGTCTGAAAAAACTTTAGTCCAACCGCTCCCTTTCAGACACCGTTGTCTATGAGCTACACCAGCTTGACACAATCTAGTCATTTAGGTCACTGGAGAAATGGTAATATGCTTTAGATGGGTGGGCAGTGAGAATTCTTCCATATGAAGCTCAATGTTATATTTGATATTACTGAGAATACATATGAACATTTTTTTCACTTTAATATGCAGCAGACTATTTTTGGACATGCTCTGCCTTTACATAATTTAAAGCTCACACAGTTATTAAACCTTCTCTGCCTTGCAATTACAATGTCGCAAAAAATCAAAGTGGTGCCCTCAAACATTTGAGTCTCTCTTGCAGGTTCGGTGTCAAAATAATTTTCAAACTTGTCCATAAGAGGACACTTGTGATGCACCTCCATTACACTCTCTCTAAAAATCTCACGAGGTGCTAGCTACTGTATATGTTCATTTCTTACCTGCTTGCAAGTTAGCTCTTTGCACTTATGGCTATAAAAGGAGACCTACTGTTGTTTTGGGCCAGTTTTTAGGCTATTCTCATTCTTTAAAGACTGCAACTTTGTAGGTACCATCTTGCTGCATACTATTTGGACTCTATTTTTTCCCCTTATAACCGTTCCATATTACAAACAAGTAGAATGAGAAAGTCCTCTTCTATTGTGATCTCTCTTCGTCTGCATCTCAGTGCTGCACCTTGTGTGTAAATGGTGCACGGTAAAGAGGCAATGAACAGATGGAAAGACAGACCATCTGTTTCACCATGACCCAAACATTCATGCTATTAGTTTGCGGATGAATGATATAATTATGAAGACATTTATATAGAGGGACTTAAAGTACAGTCAGACAAAAGCAGAAGTAAAACTTGCACTGGTTAAATGAAGGATAATGAGTCATAATTTGCCTCTCTGAAAAACAGCCTCAATACTGAGAAGAAGAAGAGTGGTGGCAACAATGACAAGCATTATACAAATAGCAGGAGCAACAATATGTCAGTTGTATGACATAACAGAACTAATGTTGGAGAAGAAGATGCTCATCTGACCTGACATCATGTGGGAGTCCTGACTGCTCCAGGCTGTACTGAATAACAGCTATTTTGCATAACGTCTTCAAATTAGGGCCTGAAAATAAAGGAAATTGTAATGAGTCATAGACTGATCATCCTCGGGCTAAGAATATTCATTTCAGCTGTGGGAATTCACAATGGAGCCAGGCAGGTCATCTAAGAATCTGTAGATGAAAGGGGTTAGATCCATTCTGCATGATGCAAAGCCCCCTGTGCTCTGCTTATACCATACTGCAGAAACACAGTGAAAACCAACAACAGCATTCACATGAGGAAGTAAAGAACTTAATGATGCTAGAGCTAAATCATGTTAGTGCACAAGTCAGGTTATTAAAAACCTCCTTTATATTACTAATTACAAAAGTCCTGCTGATTATTGTCACCGCCATGGTTGCTCCACCATATGCTCAGAGATCAACAATGTGCAGGCACACGTGACTGGCGCATGGAGGCGTATGCCACTGAATACTGCCAGTCCCAAACGGTCCCTGTGTCCCTGCACCTACACAAGCCCCAACTGTGACCTGACAATTTCAGGCAACCCCATATGTAGGCAGGATATGGCTAGATTTGGTAGTCCATGAGACAGAAGTGTCCACTGGGGTAACACAAAGGAGGGCCACTGCCAGGCTTATTAGGCCAGGTGAGAGATGAGGCAGTCATGTAGGGAGAATACTGATATTATAAAATTTATTTAGGAGACCACCCAATCCCTTATATAGCCAGGTAAGGTGGCTGAAAATACTTTTATATACAAAAACACCCTGGGGTGAGATATGGGGACTTCTGCATCTGGAGTTTCAAACACTACATTCAAAGATCAGACATCTTCTTAAACTGAGAAAAGGGACAAGAATACTTACTGAAGTCTAAAATATACAGGTCTGAATGATCCATGAGGTTGAACTCATCCCCCATTCCTTGCTCTGGACAGGGGCTGTAAAGAGAGCAAAATGTTTTTTAGGATGAAAGCTGTCAACAAAGACATATTAAAACAAACTACCTAACAAGTGGCCAAAGCTTCAAACCAATCTAGAACAATATAAGCTCTTAACCCTCTTGTCTAATTTCATGAGAACAAACCAAGGCTGTATTTTCTGCTCAACTGTTTAACGGCTAACATCATTTTCTCTTCCCTTATGTCACTCATAGAATTCCCAACAATTACTAACCAAGACGCTCCCCATTAACCTCGTAATATTTCCTTAAGCACTAAGGTTCATAATCATGGAGCCACAGGTTGTTTTAAAGAATAGCACACAGCGCTCTGTTCTCCTTATCTTGGGCTGGCATGATTTAAGCCCGCAGGAAGTCGAGCACCGCAGTGAGACAGTAGGCTGGTCCGTACTGATAGCCTCCCAGAGCTGTGCAGCCATGGATATCACTGCACATCTGTTTCCTGCCACAGCTAAGCACACATACCTGTGACACACCTGGTGCACCATAGCTTAGGAAACCTTGCTGTATCACAATTCTGATCAGTCACCATGCTTGAATGAAATAATTAAACTGCAAAAAAAAAAAAAAAAGGCTATTTAGAAAGTATAAAATGGAGCAGGTTGCAGCCTTTGGGAGCTGAATTAGTCTTTTCCAAAAGATTTATTACCCCAAGGTAGTAAATATGCTGTATTCCTGCAAGTGTACTCGATGCACATATTTGTGTTACATCTATAACAGTGCAACAAGAGACCTCCCCACATGAGTGGATAAAAATGCACTTTACAGTTTTACACTCCTCAGAGGACAGTTTGAGGCAAACTGGTGGATTTACGAAAAAGCTTAGTGTCTATGAATATCTATAATGAAGAATAAGTGTGGGACATTGCCTGTAAGAATAGCTTCACAAATTACCTTGTACCACTGGACTGGCAAGTGTCCAACCTAAGACACCATCAGACACCACTGCAGTACTGCTGAAGCAGTCTAGCAAAAACTACTTTTTCTGAATTGCATGAAATTGTTATTTACAGCATTATATTTCCTTTTAGTCCGTTTCAGTTTTTATTCTGGGCCCAAATATCTTCTTACAGAACACAATATACTCTCTCCTCCGCCAGCTCTTTATCCATCAATTTCTACTCCCCTTTCCCGCCATCCTATCCATCGTGTCTCCCTTTCGCTGTGTGTTCAGGATGTTGTAAGGATTTTACGTTGCTAATCTTCCCTAAACAAACATGGTGGTGACTTAAAGTGGCCACGAGAGGTGCAGAGCACGAGCACAGTCATCCCAGGGGACCAGCTGGGGAAGTCATTACGTTCCCTGCCCCCCAGGAGGTGATCCACCCAGGCTTATAGCATGGGCCTTTATCACAATACCCTCAGCCACCTTAAGCTGCCCACCCCACCCACCCATCCACACCCACACACTCTGTCTACTCCAGAACCTGCAGTTCATTGCTAGATGTAACAGTAGTGCGGTGATTAAAACGGTAGCTTTCAATTCTGGTTCATTTCAAACTAAAGAGGATGCAAACTAAGATGCAGTTTATACATTTAAAACACACAGCTTTAAAAAAAAAAAAACAACTGAAATGGATAAATTGCTCTAAGTGCCACTTGACATTTATCAAAAGTTAATTATTAAAACAATTAGAAATACTTCTTATATAACAACCAACAGTGGGCTGTGACACAGGGCCATTATTAAGGTGCTGAGATGCACATCATCATTAGCTCAAGTTGGGCGACGGATACGAGTTCAGCTTGTCAAAATATGGGGAAAGGAAATTTTCAAATAATTATAGGTTATATTAAATACTGTATGTGTGAAAATGAGACCAAATCAACAGACGATCTCCATTACAGAAGTAATGACATGTAGCATCTCTATCTAAAGAGTGCACTGCAGTAGCTCTCAACTACTGTGCAAGCTCACATGGAGAGAGAATATAGGCCTTGGCTGCTGATGAGTGAAAGGGTGCAGATAAGAGGACGCTTTAACAGGAGCAACCTGAGAGATGAAGATCGCATCCCCTGGGACAAGGGTTTCTCGCATGCTCATAGACACCGTCAGCCTGGGTGTGAAATTTGGCAGGACATTAAGGAACGGTAATGCTTTATTGGTCACCGCAAAAAGGAGGAGGCTGAAGGGGATCACAGAGACAAGAGAAGGAAAAGGGGGTGGTAAGAGGTGTCTGATAGACTGGCAATAGTTGGAAGCAGGAAAATCACAGTGTGCGATTTTATGTGGTGTCCTGGTGTTTGATGGGTCACTTTGTTACTTGATCAGCAAAGTATCACTATGTGTGAAGTGCTCCTCCCCCTACCACAGCAGCGGTTCCCAGTCTGAATGAGGCCTGAGCGATGCTGCTCCCCCCCCACTAAAACAACACTGGTTGCTGTTTCAAACAACACTCATGAGGGTGTCTAATCACCCAATTGCCAGTCTTTTCTATAGCAATGCACTGCCTGCTCCACCTCATTATCTTCAAAACTGAGGTCTCAAAACAGTAGAAGACCTGAACTACCGTACTAAAACTAATGCGGGAACACCAGAGTCTGGGAACATGCCAAATTATCTCAAGTGTCCAGGAATTCAACTGCCCACAAATTTTGCAAATGACTTTGAGAAATTCATCAGTGAGACTTTTTTTTTTAACACATTGGTGTAAACAATATAGCTGGAGCCTGTCCCGTTGCAGGCATGTTTTCAGCGGCTTCATTGGCCATATCCTCATTCTTGAGAGTGATATGACCAGCATCCTTCTCCTTTCTCTACTTCCTATTGAACTTTGGTCCATCAGAACCATCTCGCTCACAGGAACTCATCACACACTACAACTTCCTGCAGAGCCCCTTATCAGGATGGCCAGACATGCATCAAATTATTTTAGGAGTACGCATCAAAGTGCTGGGAACAGGTAGTGATAATACAACAACAACAACAACAACAAGAAGAAGCAGATAGGAACTTTAAAATAACTTCTGCAAATCATGGAACACTACATGATTAGAGGGAAAAGAATGTTAGACACTAAGGCACATTCATTTAAAAACAACAATTTAAAGGATTATATATTTCTTCCTTCAGAGGGTTATAAATTAGCTTTATATGTGACAACATACAACCAAGCATTTATTAAAAATTATATATACAATACTGTAAACATCTAAAAATAAACTTTCTGTGTAATTTGGCCCATTTGATTAATGGGAATATGAAAAAAAAAAAAAAAATGTTTTCACTGACAAAAGCCTACAGATAAGATCTGATAGGAATTTATCAGACTGGTATAAATCTGCAAGAGTTGGCAACAAGTTTGGAGCTAAATTTTCTCAAATCCAAACAAATCCAATTGACTTAGTAATCACAGATCGATAGATTCTCATCCATTTCTTCTGTCTTAATCTCTACTGTCTCACCTTGTCTTACCAAGCTATCTGTGCCCCCTCCTGGGCAGTGGCTGGACAGTGGATTAAGACCTGTAGCTGCCCAGACCTAAGCCCCATGCAGAGGGTGAGACACAAAATGCAGCTGGCTCCCTGTAAGAGACGCCTGACTAAAGATTAGGGAGGGGAGATGCCAGCCGCTAGTGAAGTATGCATATCAGATTGCAACCCCTGTGGACAAAATGTAGTTGGACTTGGTGATATATTTGAGAGGAAAACTGAGCCCATAAATCACAACCAAATACAAATGTAGCCCCTTTTATCGTGACAAATTAGGTTCCTTTTATCAGGACATGCTATTATCAATGTTGGTGCCTTATAAAAAAAAAGTGTTCTGGGGCCTTGAACTGGTTAATATACACTGTAAGGTCTAAAGGGGGTTGTTAAATGCTCCTGTGTAGCTGGCAGAATAATTTGGAAAGTTACTTCCTCTATAGCCCGTCTTCACTTTCAGCTCATATAACTAGGAGTCAAGGTCAGCCACCTAACAGGAGACATTCATAACAGACCATACTTTAGCTCATATGATTCATGCCCTCTATTGGGATAGCTCATTAATAAATTTGCTACCTTTGCAGGCTCATGCTAATTAGACCATTCTCTTTCACAACTTCAGAAATGCATATTTTAGTAACAAGTTGTTTAAACATGACTTTGCGAATGTAAACAACCAGCCACATATTTTGTTAAATCACTGGGTTGGTGTGCTGTTCTTGTAGTTTTTACTTATCTATGTAGTCCGGCACGGTTCTACAGAGAGCGCCCAAACCACCAAGAGCTGCTTTGGTTGTGATGACAGTAGTAAATCAAAAGCTGAACTACTATTATTTAGACATGTCAGTTTATGTGAACAGCAGCGCCACAATGCGTCACCAATGCAGGCTGTTTATCTGAGCTGCTGTGCAACACTCAGCTCTATGTCACCTTAATGTACACAGGCCATTAGTGGGTTAAAAAGGGTTAAGATACAGATGAAATACTATCATGAGCTTGTCTTTGAAGAGTAAATCACACTGTTGCTGTACCGCCCCAAGGTCTTGTCCTGCCACGTGCAGGATGCCCCAAATCCTGTCGGGGTCACCTCCACTGTTTGACAGGTTTATCTCAGACATACTCAGCACACACACACACACAGAGAGACAATTAATAAAGGAAACTTCTGCAGCCTACCCCTTGACACTGAAGGCCAAACGACAGCATGTGTGTGGCTTCAAAATCTGTGGTATGCTGATAAGCATGTTTCCACGGAGCCAGGTTCTACTGTGGTAGATTTTAATGTATTATGGACTGCAGTGCATTGGTAAGGGCTGATCCAAGATCCAACAATAAACTCAATTCAAATAACTAACAAGACAATAAAATGCTTCTTAATTAGGTCTTCCTTGGTCCAATGTTGTGTTTAGTCTAACATTTTAAACTGTCAGGTTCAACAGTGATAACAAGCCACACTTTAACCTGCTGGATTATCAAAGTAGCAGCCCTTTCAGCCATTGATAAGGCCCAACACGGCCTTGTAGGTGATATCAAGGCACCAGGCTTTTGACCTTC